TTTGACCCTATATCTGGGGCTGTAGCCTGTAGGCAACATCATCTTTAAACTTCAATTTCTCGTCCTCCCTGCTCTAACGGTCTGATTGGATAGTGTTGCGCGTAAGCTACATTATTCATTAACGGAAATAATATTATGAGCGACCTCTGTTTATAAAAAGTTGAGTCAAAATTCTCAATATGGTTGCCGCGTAACAGGTGTTTGGTGCACGTATGAATCTGTAGTTGGGATTTTAGTTGCAAATGGTAAGTAATCATTTGTTTTTATGGTCTATTAGCCTTGCTTGGTATAAAAGAAGGTTGAGTCTTTATGTTTATGATTATTTTCAAGCGATAGGTCAGAAAATAAGGCAGGAAAATGACTTTGTTTAGTATGTATCTCTCAAGCAACATTGCCAGAATAATTACGTTTTCTTTTTCAGTCTTCTGGATAATTTTCCAACCATAAGCACTACATGCTTTTTCGGCAAAAAGAAGGCACCGACCGTAATTCACACAGATCCGCATATTTCCGATGTCTCAGACGACGATTTCGGTGACGGAGAAAATATTGCCTAAACAAATGAGCTTAACGATGAAGAAGAAGTGCCTTCAGGACTTGACATGCTGGTTCCAGAAATTCATTCTGAATTCGAAGACAGTGACGATGAAACTGAGTCGCCACCACCACAAAGACGAAAAACTGAATCATATTCTTGGATTGAAGCTGACATAGTTTCTGCTAACATACCTTCACCAGACTTTCCTGAACCTGACAACATTGTAGTTCCCATTGAGTTTTCTACAAAGTTTTTTCATTTGATCTAATGGATAAAATAGTCTATCAGACAAATCTTTATAGTACTCGGCAACTTGGGCAATGTATTGATACAAATCCGTCAGAAATAACAGATTTTCTATCTACAGGGTTATCCAAATTAAGTGTCCACCATTAGTAACTTTGTTATTAGTGAAAATACAAAGTTATTTGAATTAGCAAACTAGTAGCATTTTTAACGCTGGTAAAAATGAGAAATAAAAAAAAACAATTGAGAGTCGTTATTTTGATTTTTTTCAGTAAAATAACATTTTTTTAAATGGAAACCCCTGTATATTATATTTTTTTCTGTTAAAGCATCAAATTTTAAACAAAAAAGCTTACAATAACTTTTCTCCTAGGTTACAAATTGTTGAAGTTATGGCCTCCAATCTGAAACAATTAAATTGTATCGACAAACTTTATTTTCAACATCAACTTATAATCTTACAAAATACAATATCAATTTTTTTTTAAAGAAGATGCTCGAAAACACCACCTTGTTCTTCAATACATTTTTGGGCACGTTTTTCAACTGCTCGAACTGTCTTAAGTATGGTCCTACCATCTATCTGGGTTATCTTTTCCCTAACTGCAGTCTTTAACGCGTCAAGGTTATCGTACCTTCGCTTGTAAATTTGGTTCTTTAAGTAACCCCACAAGAAGTAATCAAGTGGGTTTAGATCTGGTGATCTGGGAGGCCACTGTATTGGGCCATTTGTTCCTATCCACTGATCATTAAAAGTAGTACTTAGAAAATGATAACTACCTCTGGAGTTGTGGGCAGGTGCGCCATCTTGCTGAAAATGCAGATGATGTCTACTTATAAGATCCAATTCATCTAAGAAATTAGTCAGTTCCCTCATAAAAGAACGGGCCAACAATTTTTGAACCAATTATACCGCACCAAACGTTGAAACTGAAACGGACTTGTGGGCCTCTTGGATGTACTAACAAAAGATTTTCTCTTGACCAATAATGGTGGTTTTTTCTATTAAACATTCTAGAATTTGAAAAATTTGATTCATCTGTCCATAAAAGGTAACGAAAGTTATTTACATTTTGGCGACAGAAGCTAAGATACCAATGGCAAAAAACAAGTCTTCTCTCTGGATCCCCTGCCAAAAGCGTTTGAACTGGTCGGTACTTATACGGAATAAATTTGTATTTTTTTAAAATCCTTTGAACAATACCATAACTGAAATTAGAGTCCTTGAGAATATCTGCTATTGAATTCTCACGATAAGCTTCAAAATATCCAATAACTGCAATTTCCGTGGCCTCGCTTATTATGAATTCTTTTTTTGCCCTTGTTTTAGCAAAAACATTTTCGTTGCCCCTAAATTTTCGATAAAGTCGCAGAAAATATCGTTCATACGGTTGAATGCGAGCGGGATATAATTCACTGTAGTATTCTCTTGCTCTCGAGGAGGATTTTCTGCACACTAAATAGCATTCTAACATATCACACTTTTCTTCATGGGAGAACATTTTTCTTTAAATTAATGACACAATAAAGCTTATAAACAAGTATTTACACTAATGTTTGACATTATTTGATTTTATCATTGTTTTCCAAAGCCTTCTAGTTGCGAGTATGTCCAGTTTAACAATTTGTCGCTTATCTTAATGCTGTCAAATCGCGAACGCCATGTTGTTTTCATAGCCGTCTTAATATTATAATACTGCAAATAATTAAAAATATTTATCGTTATTTTGACTTTATTTTTGACTTTAGCGGAAAAGTCATTATGAACTTTTTTGTTTAAAATTTGATGCTTTAACAGAAAAAAATATAATATACAGGGGTTTCCATTTAAAAAAATGTTATTTTACTGAAAAAAATCAAAATAACGACTCTCAATTGTTTTTTTTTATTTCTCATTTTTACCAGCGTTAAAAATGCTACTAGTTTGCTAATTCAAAAAACTTTGTATTTTCACTAATAACAAAGTTACTAATGGTGGACACTTAATTTGGATAACCCTGTATACTCTTGATTATGGGTGTAATAAAACTTCCTGCCATAGAAGATTTTTGCGCAGCTAGTACAAGAGTAGATCACGAGGCCATTTTAATGCCTCTGAAGAGGTTTCAGAAACTAAGACGGTTTATCCATTTCGATGATAATACTAACGTAACAGACCAGACAAAGGATCGATATTTCAAAATTAGACCCTTATTAGAAATTGTACGCAAGAACTGTTATAAACTCCAGTTTGAAAATCAATACTCAATTGATGAAACAATGGTGTCTTACAAAGGCACATATGCGGGCAACTTGAGGCAGTATATCCAAAATAAACCCCACAAATGGGGGTTTAAATTTTTTATTCGTGCTGGGGTTTCTGGTTATATTGCCGACTTCATACCCTATCAGGGAGCTGCGACATTTGAAGTGCTTAGAGGATCTCCGAATGAGTTAGATGATTATAAAGTAAATCTAGGTGTAGGTGCTAGCGCCGTCATTTCTCTGTGCAAAACCCTAAGCGAACCGAAAAACACTGTTATATTCTGTGACAATTGGTTTTCAAGTGTAAAATTATTTATTTATCTGAAAGACCGATTCGGGATACTTAGTTTAGGAACTATAAGGTCTAACAGAATAGCTGGATGTCAACTTGAAACCGATAAAGTGCTTCAAAAAAGGCGAAGAGATTCTTACGTTTATAAAGCAGATACAGACAAAGGTATAATAGTAGTAAAATGAGCTGACAATAAATGTGTTCTATTAGCAAGTACATTCTGTGGCCTAAATCCCGTAAAATCGATAAAAAGATATTCGAAAATGGAAAAGAAAAAAATTGCCATCCCTTGTCCATCCGTTATACAATGAGCACATGGGCGGTGTCGATAAGGCCAATTCATTACTTGGTCTGTATCGCAGTCCAAGCAGATCGAAAAGATGGTACTTCCCAATTTTCACATGGGTTCTTGATATGTCAGTGATCAACGCTTGGCTTCTGTATAGAAAGGACTGCAATACAGCACGTATAACGTCAAAACCGCTAAAGGAGTTCCGTATGGCGTTAGCCAAATGGTTGGCCAACGCAGGAAAACAAAGTTCTCGTGGCAGACCATCCATTTGCTCGACTAATAAAACCCCTGCGGAAATAATATCAAACCCTATACTGCCGAGACCTGATATCACCACCCAAAAAGATGGCATAGGTCATTGGCCAACTTATGGTACAAAAGGTAGATGCAGGCACTGTGCTTATGGATTTACAACAATTGTACCAAGTGCAATCTTAGGCTTTGTTTCACCCCAAATGAGAATTGTTTCTATCTTTTCCATTCCAATTAGATTTAGCTGTATCATCACATTGTATTTTGTGAAACTAGAAATATAAATTTTGTTTATTTCCTGATATTCGTTTTATAAATAAATGATTTGAAATGTATAGTTGTATTTCCATATAAACCAGTGCAATTTGGTTTGCCTTTATCGGTCAATGTTGCTTGCAAGTAACAATAGAACCTATACTTTATCTCGCAATGTTGCTTGCAAGCAACTAATTCTAAAGTCATTTTCCCAGGTTATTTTTCAACTTTTATAATATCTTATCTCACTTATAAGGCATAACTGATAACCTATGTCAATATTAGATTTTTTCGATAAGGTGTCGCGCAAAGGGAGATACAGGGTTAAATACCCCCCTGAACAATTTGCAGCAATAATACCAAACTTTAACATTATTTCACAGACCCACCAGGGGTACTTTCGTCTAATATGATCAGACTAAAAATAAGGGCGGCACACCTATGAGCAGTTGTAATAACGGCGGTACTACCGACCTCTACGTACGGTAGAAGGAAACCACAGTTAACCGACGTATATGAGTGACAGTTGCTCTAATTTGCCCTCCTAGGCAGCATTTTTGGCCAAGGCCTATCTGTTTCCCTTCCCCTTTTTGATCGCAAAAAATAGGTTTTTTCCTTCCTAAACGAGAGAAAAAACTGATAGATGTCATGACCAAAAAGACGTCCTTCGAATAAGGATGGCAAATAGGAGCGATTGAAAATAGGACCTAAGAAACGGAGCAAGATATGCCACCTTATAGGCACCCTATCTAGACTAAGGGGAGTACTAAACACTTACCATGCTACCAGCATCGACTATGCAAAAGTTTCAGAAGACAGTCAGCAAGGGTTTATGTTGTTTAAATTGTCACACGTGACAAAGATGTTTGTTATCTTTGCAGATTCCGATGACAGTGATGGAGAGGGAGGAATGGGAAACGTGGCTCGTATGATAATGCGACCTCCTGGTCACAGTGGAAAGGCGAAGAAGGGACACCTGTGTTTCGACGCCTCTTTTGAAACTGGCAACTTAGGAAAGGTGGATCTTATCAATGAATATGAATATGATCTTTCCATTAGACCAGATTCCTGCAATCCCAAGCTGAGGTTTTGGTTCAATTTTACTGTAGACAACGTTAAGCAAGATCAAGTAAGTTTAAACAAGTAAGATGTCGTAAAATGTTGCATATTACTATATACTAAAGTACATAGCTGCATTTTACGTTATAAGATGATATAATTATTCTATGTATGTTCTTGTACATGTACGAGTACTATCTCGCGCTCGTAGTTCCTGGTGGTGTCTCGATCGAGTGTACTGCCCACATGAAATAATATGTTTCGTTTCAGAGGGTAATTTTCAATATCGTGAATATAAGCAAGGAAAAAAACTTACTCATGGACAATATGACACCACTCGTAAAGTCAACTAGCAGACCAAAATGGTAAGACCAATAGTTGTTTTAAGTACAGCAAGTAGAACGTTTACCTTCAGTACTACTTTATTGCTTATTGTCCAGATCATTGAAATCGAGTCGAACGTACTCCAGATCTCGATTTCCAGTCTTAGATCAAAGCTTGCCTAAGTTATGGCTTTATCAATCTGAGTAATAACGTATGTATACAATGCTACAGTGCCGTACTTAGGTAAAAAGCAGTAAAGTTCAAATTTTCACTTCCAATACATTTCTGATTGATGATTACAATTACACACAATATGTATTTTTCATGACGTTATTAAACAGTAATAGTAATTTTTTGAAAGAAATAAAGAGAGGTTGATGTCCCTTGAAATGGATTACTGGAGAAGAAGATGCAGAATTTCCAGGCTAGAACATGTTAGGAACGACAGAATCAGACAAATTATGGGAGTTGACCTCGACATTTTAGAAACGATTGAAACAAAAGATTACTTTTGTATGGTCAACTTCAACGTATGTATAACACAATATGGCCAAAAAAGTCTAAGTCAAGAGGGAGACCGGATGGACAGAAAGATAAGGCGTTTGAGAAGCGGAAAGCCACAGTAGTCGTAAAAAACCCGCATATATATTATACAGAGTGGCCCATCCATGTGTGGACGGAATATTACTCATACACAAATACATTTTGGGAAAATCTGTTTATGAGATATTATACATGACATTTGAGTGCACATTTCTAAAATATTGGCCATTATACAGGGTGCCTCAAATTTAATTGCATATTTGTGTTAACCAATTCAAGAGAAGAAAATTGATACAACATACTATGGGGTTTTGGTAAATAGCTACTGAGATATAAGGTCTTGGAAAAACCACCAATTCGGCAACCCCTCAGTCCGCCATTTTGAAGTTTGGAGTGATGAGTTTTATATTAAAAAAACTTACACACCTCAGCTTCTATCTTATTTGTTACTTCTTTGAATTTTAATTTTTGCTCATACCAGGTAGTCAAACACGCAAATTGTAGTTTTTCTCAAAAATTTTAGATGCATCACCCTGCATATTTGTGCAAATTTGGATTCAATTTTTTATAAGCTTTTTTTGATACTGGACACATAAGGGTTTTTGCGGCTATTTTTTCGGTTATTAGCACGTTTTTTATGGAACGGCTTAATTCCCTAAAATATCGCACCAACTGTCAAAATTAGCTTTGTGAGCATTATAATACAAACGTGTTTGAAAATGAGTTTTTCTGAAGAAGTAATGGTGAATATGGTGTTCGTTTTGGGCGAAGCCCAAAGGAATAGTTTCCTAGCATTTCGCATTTATAAGCAACGGTACCTCAATATGCGACATCCAAGGCTAGAAATATTTTCCACACTACGAGAACGTTTTGAATCAAGTGGAGCAGTGTATACAGTAAAGAGTGTATAAATAATCTAGGTGTCACCAATAAGGCGAATCAGTTGGAGGTTCTATTAAAGTTGCAGGTAAATCCCCATTTAAGTGCACGGCAAGTTGGAACAGAAACTGATATATGCAGAACTTCTGTCCAAAGAATTATTCACAAACATAGGTACCAGCTATATCACCTATGCTTGAAGGCACTACTTTCCTGGAAAGGTTCTTTTTAGCGATGAGGCTACTTTCAATAGCATAGATGTTGTCAACGGGCATAACATGCACTATTATGCGACGGAAAACCCTTACTGGGTTGGGGAAGTAGATTTCCAAAATAAATGAAGCTTGAATGTTTGGGGAGGAGTTATTGGCAGACAAGTTATCGGGCCTTTCTTTTTCGACAACAGATTAACAGGTACCGAATTTTTTGATCGCGCATTTGCCTTTGCTTTTGGAGGATGTCAACCTGCAAACTCGGATGCATATGTACTTCCAACATGACGGCGCACCTGCGCATTATCTTAATCCTGTGCGTAACTATTTGGACACCTGGAGTAACAATCGGATCGGTCGTGATGGGCTTATATCTTGGCCTCCTAGATTACCAGATATGACACCTGGACTTCGTTCTATGGGGCTACGTTAAGCAAGAGGTCTATAGATATCCACCATCTACCCCGGAAAATATGAAGGAAAGGATTAAGGATGCTTTTCTGAACATAAGGGAACACAGGCTGAGAGATGTGCAACGGTAATTTATCCAAAGACTATGGGTGCGTATTCAACATGGTGGAGATATTTTCTAGCAATTTTTGTAGATTAGGTCTTGAGCACTGATACTTGTTGAAGTTGAAGCTGATTTATACTGTTCTGTTGTTTTTACGTCAGATCTGTACTCTTAGTGGCAATATGGCCCACTGTTTGTCTTTTGCTTCCATGGATGATGCATTTGAAATTTTTGAGAAGGTACAATTCGCGTTTTTGACCACCCTGTATGAGCAAAAATGAAAATTCGAAAAAGCATCAAACAAGATAAAAGCTGAAACGTGTAAGTTTTTTTTGTATAAAATTCAGCACTCCAAATTTCAAAATGGCGGATTGAGGGGTTGCCGAAGTGGACGGTTTTTCTGGACAAAACACCTTACACCTTAGAAGCTAATTACCAAAACCCCATAGTATGTAATATCAATCTTCTTCTTTTGAATTGATTTATCCAGACATGCAATTAAATTTGAGGCAATCCATTTCAAAAATCACAACTTTGATATGTAGGGGACACCCTGTATATAATTCCCTATATTTCAGAAATGTGCCCTCAAATGTCATGTATAACATGCCATACATATATATTTTCCCAAAATGTATTTGTTTATGAGTAATATTCCGTTGGATGGGCCACCCTGTAAACAGGGTGACTTTGAAGTTGAGTCATTAATTTTCAGATAATGATTGTAGAAGGAAGATAAACCGAAATATGTGTGTAAAAATTAAAAAAAAATGTTACCTTGTTTTATAAACAAGTATTTCAGTGCGGACCTGTATTTGATGGTGCGGTCTTGGAGCGCGTGCATGCCCTCTCCTGTGAGGTCTTAAGTCACCTGATTGACGAGCCCTTTGTACTACATTAACAAAGGCACGAGGGGTTGGTTGTACTTGATTGGAAAACCGATCCGCATAAATTCGTCATGTCGCGGCAGCATTTTGTAAAGACTCCCCCCCCCGTAAATAAGAATCATGTCCACAAGCTCAGCATTTTCGTAACCATGTGCCATTTTTTATTTCGTTTGAGCCACGCAACAAACACCACTATTCACTCACGCGTTACCGACTGACACATTGACTGAATACGACTGAATAAGATTGTAGTAAAAACATCGCGTTTCAAATTCTTTCACTTTTTTGTTTCCGATGCGATGAACCGATAAGGCGGATTATATCCGTTGTTGCCAAACACGAGCACATAATATTATTATTGAGACAGGGCGGTACTCAAACTTCTAAAGGGCTATAACTTTGTTACTATAATTTTACCAGAAAAAAGGAAAAAAACATTTCTTTTAATCAGATCTACTCACTGTTAAAATAAATGACTCAACTTCGAAGTATAGTATTTTTAGTATAGTATTTTTTTCACTTTGTCAGATATTTCATAAAAGTAAATCAATTTATTAAAGTAACAAAGCAATAGTTTTCAAAATACTTCTATTCCCTGTATGATACAAGTACTGCCCTATTACCTTGTATAACCTATTATGTAATAATTTGTAAATAGGTATTTATTGTTATAAATAATTACTCTTGTCCTGAAAGAATAATTTTGAAAGGTATACCTCGTTCAAATTATAATCAAATATGCAATTTTTAGTTTATTTGTATAGTTATTATTTATGAATGTAATTATCAAGTGTAATTATATAATTATTAAATTGAATAATTAGATTTTGAAAAGATTCACTTTTGTACTATTTATAATTTCAATATGAATGAATTATATTGAAATAAAATTACAGTCTGCGTGACAGTGAATTTGTTTTTGCAGTATGGGAGCAGTAGGTCACATGTTACTGCTTTTCGATTCACGACAATTAAAGGCGGAACGTTATTTATTTTTGGCATCGACAACAATTATGATCCGAAATCACATTTAAATTACTCTCTATGCAGGCATGTAACTTTGCAATACCCATTCACTCTTATTATCTCGTAATATCACTATTTATATAGCTCGAAAAAATCCAGAATTTCATACCAAATTTTCTCAGTCCTCGATTTTTACAGTTTACTGCCTTTTACCCAAGTATGGCGGTATAGCCTCTCTGCATCCGTTAACATATCTTCCAAGTGCGTGGTACATAGAACCGTTCACGTGATATCTGTTCCCAGAATTCAAAATAATTCAGGATACGATGGTTCGAAAAAATCCTATGAATCTCTATCGAACGTCATTCAGTCAATCCTGTCAGAAGACCGATAATAAGAGGGAGAACATTTGATATTGGGCGATTCAAATTGAGTTTCCACATTAAAAGTATTTAAAGAAAGAAGACATTGAAAATTATGAAAAAATATGTATTTGCCCTTTCAGGGTAGTTCATTACAATTATGCACAAAGGATGATATCATGTAAATGACCGCCGCGGCTCATCTGGCATGACGTAATCCGTTTCTAGAAATTTTCGACTACTCTGTGGCACAAATCCGGCCTTATGTTGGTAATATTGCGTCTGATATCCTGTTTCGGCTCTGCAATTGTGTTCAGGTTATTCTTGTAGACTTTTCTCTTGAGATACCCCCAAAGAAAATAATCTAAGGGAGTTAAATCACAGGATCGCGGCGGGCAATTGATATCGCCTTTATGTGAAATAACGCGACCTGGAAACTTGCCGCGCAGTGATTGTATCGTTTCTCCTGATATGTGACAGGTGACGCTGTCCTGTGGAAAGCAGAGATCTTTGATGTCCATATCTTCCAACTGTTTCCAGAAAAACTCCGTTGTCATGTTCGGATAGCGAACGCTATTAACCGTAACAGCGTTCTCCGCATGATCCTCGAAAAAAGAATGGACCAGTTACGCCTCCGGACCAAAAGGCACACCAAATAGTCACCTTTTGAGGATGCATTTTCACTGCAACAATGTGTCTTGGATTTTCCAATCCGCAAATACGGCAACTGTGAGTGTTTGCGAAGCCCCGAATGTGAAAATGTGCCTCATCGCTAAAGATTATTTTCATTGGAAAATTTGCCCCTTGTTCTCTTATCCATTCGGCAAACACACGGCGCTGTTGATGGTCCCTAGGCTTTAATTCATGTGTTATGTGGACTCCGTAAGGGTGCAACTTCAAATCTTTTGTTAAAATCCGCTATGTAGTGAAACAGGTAAGGTCCAGTTGCTGCGATCGATGACGCCTCGATGTTCTTGGATTTTCGGCCACTCTTTCGGCAACAATAGCAATATTGTGTTCCGACCGACCTCTACGAGCATGCCTAGGGGTTTTGATGTTAGCGGCGGATCCAGTTTGCTCGAATTTTTGCACCAAATTCCAAATTGTTCTCTCACAAGGCCGATTTTGTGAGCCAAAAAGTTCACATAAAGCACGAAATGTATTCTTCCTTAATCGGCCGTTTTCATTATAGGCTTGGATAATTTTAACACGTTGATCGGTGGTATATTGCTGGGTGACTGTTTTGTTTATACTTTGACGTTAGAAATGGCACGTTGTCGTTGATAAATTCAGTGGCATTTCAAAAAATGTATTTGTAATATGGAAAGTCAATCTGAATCATCCATTATATTTTAATCGGCATTATTTTCAGGCAAAGGATCCCAAAGCAGCACGTCTTCTACGCAAAATCCCATTTGCACCACAATCACTACATTTTGAGCTTTTCCTTCGCATTCGATAAAGAGGATGATGTATTCCAATTTTGTGTTGCCCCTCCGTACAGCTATTCCCGCTTGCAAACGTTTCTCAATCTTCTAGAAGTTAAGGCGTCTCATCTAAACCAAAACTTTAAGAGAGAGCTACTTGCTAACAGTGTGGTATGTACACTATTCGGACTATAAGCACTTTGCAAAATAAATAAATAATACTTTGCGTCCATTGTGACTGCTTGGTGCCGTCAGTCGTTATCGTAAAAGATAGTCTACTTGAAATTAAAAACTAATAATGCTGCTTTTGTTTGAACGAGCACACAAGAACAACAGCTGCACACGTTTAACCCTTAGTTTTCGATGACGAGTAGATCACCATCTACTATATCACCAGAATCGATGGCATCAAGTGATCATGGTGATGATAAGGTTCCCGATACGACTATTGTTAAATCAGATAGCTGCAAGTCTTTCTAGCAGTGGTGCAATCGGATTTCGTGATACCTGATAACTCCGACAAAGGATGCTTTGCTTTTGTTCATTGTCCTACCTAGAGACCAAAACTAGACCGTCTTGATGATTGCCAATAAGTATGAAACAGCTGTACACGGTTGGCCCTCTGTAGGTAGAAGAAGGAAAGCAGCATTACTGAATAATAATAACGCCAACGTAAAACTATTTTATGAAACCATAGATGTAGATTCGAAAGATCGTTTCAACCCCCAGACTGGTTTTTCTGTTTGTCAATTTTTGTAATAAATGCCGCTTTGTGCTGTCTTATATCAATTTTGTATTTTGGTAAATCGTTAATAGCAATTTCTATCGCACCACTCTACTATCAGACGTCAGTTAACACAAAGATACTACGAGCAGTTTTGAATTTTGCAATTGAAATAACTTGCCTCAACGACTGGGATGTTTTGAGATAATATTCCATACTGCAGTTCATCTACATTTGATATCAATGAAAGATTACGTTTACCGAAAGATTATTGGTTTAGCGTAAGCGCAAAACAATTCTGTGACTGAATGGTATCTCAACTAAAGGATATGAAATTATATTTTAGTTTTCAGCAAAAACGGAGACTGGATTTGGTTACAATAGGATCTTTGGATCCAGAGGAACCAAAACCAAAACGCAGGGTCATTGCCATTATGGCCAGGGTACATCCAGGGGAATCCCCTGCCAGTTTTGTGTGCCAAGGTTAGTCACTTGATCAATATTGCAAGATGTTGTGATATACCTCTCGAAGCAGTCGCAACATTCCCCTGAAGATCAATCATATGCTGAGGGTACCAACGAGAAATGATTGATGGGAAAGTCGCATAGTGTTTGTAGACATTACAAGTCGATTTTCCACCAAAAGGCCTCTCACAAAAAATTATCAAGAGAGGTGACCTCTGTGAAATCAGATACCTATTCTAAGATGCAATGCATGTATGAAAAAAGTCAGATGCGAAAAAAGTAATTTCCAATTTCTTTAGTAGTGGTCAAATTTTCCCAATCTCAATACCACTGGTATAGTCTCTCGAACTAACACTTTGCACGTATTGGCTACGCTGTCAGCACTATATGTAGAGCATTTTAATTCAATATCTCAATACAATCCGATTTAATTTTTTTATGTTTATACAGACTTTCACATTATTTTTTGATCAACTTCATGCCCAGAAATATTGTCACTGAATATTCCCTGAAAAACCCTATTTTTCGTTATGGCTTTTTCTTGAGTTGCTTATAAATTTTTCTTTAAAGTTATTATAAGGGAGAGTGTCCAATTTTGATAGGTGAACTTGTTTGTTTAAACTTCTAGCAATGTAACCGAAAATATTTCAGCAAAATCCATCCAATGAAACCTGGTTCCGGAGTTTTGATATTCTTATATCCTACAACGCTCCACTATAGGTCCCAAATGTCGTTGACTGTACTACGACTTGTTGCACCAAAACCAATCTTGTTAATAGTTTTCTACATCTACTTGTAGGTTTGTTAGAGCTCCTAATAAGTTCCAATAGCATAGCAACAACGTTGAGAAAATATGTGATATTTAAAGTGATACCGATGTTGAACCCAGATGGAGTGTTTGTAGGCAACTATAGGAGCTCCGCTATGGGGACAGATTTGAATCGATCATGGCACCTTTGTAACCCATGGTGTCATCCTACCATAAAAGCTACAAGAGATATATTGACAATGCTTGACAAGAGCAAGGTATGGGCTGGTTTTATCACCTACGGTTTTTGGTTAGATCTCTCAAATTTCATGGTTTTCTAGGAACTTCAATTAGATTTTGTTGTTGATATACATGCACACTCAAGTCTCAAAGGCTGTTTTATCTATGGCAATACTTATGAAGACGTATACAGGTGAGAAGCTGCACTGCATCTCAAAATTAACGATCCACTGCTTTAGTTTGCTTTTTCCAGAGGTGCCGCTCTAGTGTCTATGAATTAACACATTTTATTGCCTTATGACTGACCTGGTTTTGGTCTTGCAACATAACAGGAGTCTTGGTCTTCGTCTTGGTCTTGAAAAATTATTTTCTTGCTGTTGCAAATTTTGTCAGTCGATTAAAATAGCTCGTATTTAAAAACTGTATATAAAGTATGTACATATGGATTATACAGGGTGACTTTGAAGTTGAGTCATTAATTTTCAGATAATGATTGTAGAAGGAAGATAAACCAGAATATGTGTGTAAAAATAAAAAGAAATTAAAAAAAAAATTTTACCTTGTTTTATAAAGTATCCTCCCGACAAGTATTTCAGTGCGGACCTGTATTTGATCGTGAGGTCCCCTGTGAGGTCTTAAGTCACCTGATTCACGAGCCCGTTGTACTACATTAACAAAGGCACGAGGGGTTGGTTGCACTCGATTGGGAAACCGATCCGCATAAACATGTGCCATTTTTTATTTCGTTTGAGCCACGCAACAGAAACTATTCACACGCTAACCGACAGATACTGACTGTATGTATAACTGAACTGAATAAAACACTTAATTGCAAAAACGTCGTTCCAAATTCTTTCGCTTTTTTGTTTCCGATGCGATGAACCGGTAAGGCGGATTATATCCGTTGTTGCCAAACACGAGTACATGATATTATTATTGAGACAGGGCGGTACTCAAACTTCCAAAGGGCTATAACTTTGTTACTTTAATTTTACCAGAAAAATGGTAAAGGAAAAAAACATTTCTTTTGATCAGATCTACTCACTGTTAAAATAAATGACTCAACTTCGAAGTCACCCTGTATATTGAAATGTCGTTCCTATGTCAATTTTAGTTCTTTGTAAGGCTTGCTGTTATGACTCTTTCCACGGAAAAATACTTATATGTATTCAGATTACTTGCCAAACAATAACTTTCATCGCGCTTTGCCAACAGAAAAACTTTATTTCTTATGCAAAGGTCTTACTTGTGTACATTCTTCGTATAAAAGGGTACTATAGAAGTTTTGCAATATGACTTAACAAACGGACGCAGGATGCTGGATGCTACTGCATGTTGAGGTATGTCCATGAGTGCATAGTAGCCGCCAGCAGCACGTCTGTTGATTTATATGTTCATTCGTATTGACTGTATAAAATGCGGACTATGGCATCGTCGTCAAGTAGTGAGATAAGGGCAGTTTTAGGGTATAATTTTATCGTGGTTTAAGCATAGACCAGTGCTTAGAAGAAATGACGCTTGCATTAAAGAGTGATTGCTCTCATCATACGACTATATTCAGGTGGTACAGAGGATTCCAAATGCGCAATTTCACTCTGGAGGACCCTGGGAGGGAAGACTGCTGTGAGGAAAATTCTTGACGAAGACCGGAGAGTGACATTCCAGCAGGTAGAGGAGATCTTGCCCCTTCATGCACCAGCAATTCATTCAATTCTGCGTCATTTACGTGTAAGGAAACGTTGTACCCTCTGGGTAGCACATGGTCTGATGGAAGAGCAGAAGACATGGTGCCGTAAGTTGCTAAAAATGTTTTATAAGGGGCAATCTCGGTATGTGAACTGTATCGTGACAGATGACGAGACTTGGCTCTATTATTACGATGTGCCGACCAAGGCTCAAAACAAAGTTTGGGTGTTTGATGATCAGGACACATCCATACCTGTCAGAAAATCCGGATCTGTTAAGAAAAAAAGTAAAGCTGCATTTTTCAAATCTAGCAGGATTGTGGAGCGTGTCGTTTTGGATGCACAGAAGACAGTCACAGCTAACTGGTACACGGAACAGTGCCTACTTGCGGCCAAAGTGAACAATAGATGCTTGATACTTCCACCCTGATAACGCTCCAGCTCACTGCGCCAAAGCCAGCACCGAGTATTTGACCACTACTGTACTTAAACTTACAGTCCAGATCTTGCTCACTGCGACTTTCAAGTGCTTCCGCATGTTAAAATGAAGCTAAAAGGAAAACGGTTGTCGCCTACCTTTGATCCGCTATTCTGTCTAATTCTGGTTCGTATTCCTGGCGTAGCGGTGCTGCAGGAGCGTGAAGATTGCGGGTGTGGGAGCAGTTCTGACTATATGCGGTTGATGCGTAGACACGTGGTCTCACTGTATGCGTTTGCGGGTGTATACACCTTGGGAAAACCCATTATTATACATTATGATGAGGAAGAGAGATGGAAATATACAAAAGTATGTAGGTGCGTGAAAGACACTAGATTGTGGGATCGTATCTGGCAGCGTCGGAGTGTGACGGACAACGGGGTAAAGTAGAAGAGTGATAAAAGAGAGAGATGGCAGAACGGGCGCTGGCGCCTACCGCTTAGACGGATGCGCTCAACAAATGCGATTTGTTTCTCCCACTCGCAGAGTTGCCGATACCAATATGTCATATTTCTAAGAAATCTAAGTCTACCCAAATTTCGAGAAATATAGCTGCGGATTCCACATAAGAGTATTCCAAAAATGAAAAAAGTTCAAACTATTAAAATTGTATTAATCATATTTTTCATGTTTGTATATTGTTGTATAAATTATTTTGTAATCCCTATTCTTGTTGCCAGTAGAGATACAACAGTATTGAGAGAAATCATGGACCGCTAGATAGGGCTACAACTACCATATGACTATCAAATAGTAGTGATAAACAGGGTTTGTTTATAGCACAGTTGCCTGATGTGGCGAATTTGCGCCATAGGGGCGATTTGACAACTTTGAAGGACAACTATAACGGTTACTATGGTGCCCGGTATTCGGGAATCTGGCAATACCTAATGATTCCTAACGTTTATTACGCCAGATTTTCTGCTGACTTGCGCAGTACAACATGACAATCAACGTGACTGAGCACCTGGTAACCCTGGTTTAAGGTGTTATATTTAAAGAGCTTGGGGCAGTTAGGTATCTAGGTCACATTTTTTTATGTATTTCTAGAAATCCGTAATGTTGAGTAAATACTAGATCACGTTTCTTGGTTAGTTTGCTGAAAATTCTACAATAGACGTAAAATAATTTCTTTGTTGAAAAGACTGTGGCTTGATGACCCATTGAACGAGTATAGTGCCCCGCTCCGCTTTGAATATTCGAAACACTATACTCCAGCAGCATTCAGCTTCAATGTTATCTTTATGAAGTTCTAACGTTTACGCCATGCTGATTAAAAGCTTGAATGAATCAACACTTAACTCTAAATTCCCCACAATTCGGGAAGCTCTACTCAAATTGGCAACACAGCGTATCTGCCTATTATTCTCATTCGTGATACAGGTCTGCGGTTAACGGTAGGAAATATGTACGAATAGCGATGAAAGTAGACGAGCCGATGCGCTGTTGCCAACAAATGATTTCCCATGTATAACAATGGTTTTTCCTAAGGTGTATGTACTCACGGTATGCGGGTTGCGGCGTATCTGCGTGGTCTCTCTGTGAGCTTGTATCTCTCTTCCTTCGATTGTCCTAGCGGCGCACGCACGCGATGTAGGCAAGCGACAACTCATACTCGCCTTAAAATAAAGCCAAATATCCCTAAAAACGAGGGTGCCGCACTTCCGGGTGAACCTTGGCAGGATGGTTTTGGCGGATAGAGACGTGTACTGAATATGGTGGAAATTACTTTGAACGAAGTCAATAAATAAAGCTGTATAACAAAACTTTTATACTACCGTTTGATTTGAAAAAATATGTTCAAGATATTCCGTTACTAGCAAAATCACTGTTAGACATAGAATTTATGGTTACGAGCCGGATGCAAAATAAGTATCTCTATAAAATTAGTTTTTTTAGGGGATGTTCAGACTGAAAGTGTGTTTGAATAATGCTGCTGAAACTTCAGAATATGCATACAGCAAACTTTGGCTCTCCATTTTTTCTGGAACAAAAATTAACAGATGGGTCAAAATTTTAGCATCTAATGTGATGCATCATGAAAAAAATTCGCTAAATATAAAAAACTAGGTTTTTTGTGAGAGTTTTCTATCCACAGGGACACAGAAATTACAATAATTACGTGAAATTGGGTAAATATTTTTAGCTTTGCAGAAATGTTGGTACGAACCAAACATACATTTTTATAACCCATAATTTTTCAGCAAGGTATTTAGTTAATACCTCCAAGAAAGTGCCATTATATTAGCTTGATCCTATAAATCTGAACTTTTTAGAAGCACTCAACAAATTTAATTTAGAAGTTGTCAGATTGATAATATTTTGGGCAAGCAGTTTTTGCAAGACCGCGAATCCTGCATCACAGTCTAGATATTGGTCCTGTGGCTCAAGTCTTGATCTTGGTCCAGCAAAACCTTGTTCTTAGTCTAGGACTTGAAAAAATGCAGTATTGTTTTTGTTATCAAAACTAAGATCTTTTGAAGCCCTAATTGGTACTACCTCTGGACAAAGCAGCATATACGTAGCTTCCAAAGTATTGTAAGAAAGGACTACAAAGTAGCGGAAAAATAATCTTGGCTGTCAGAGTATTGACCTGCGTGTAATGATCAAGATCCTTCTTGTAGGTATGAAAGACATATTCTTTTTCCAAAGCTTCTATCAACTGTCGCAGATGACTACACCCAGTCAAATACGATGTTCAACTCTGACGTCAACAAAGGTGGTACTGCTAGAAGATTTCTCTGTTCTATCCTTAGTGACAAGGTGAACTGCTACAGCTTCGAAGTATCAATATACGGTTACAAACTTAAGGGATCTGAAGTCACCATTCCTTATACTGAAGAAAGCTGTATCCTTTGAAGTTGTTTGACACAGTATGCTGAGTTTGGCCTTAAGGTTCTCCAGTATCCAGCGCGATCTTGAGACTTGCAGCGAGATGTTCATTTCCGACTCACTCAAGTTTTCAGTTGCCTCACTTTTGCTTCTTTCAGCAAGCAAAGGAGGGGAAGTGTGGAGGTCAAAACATAGGAACTATGCTTCTACATAGATCAGGTATCTTCCGGTGGCATACTCGTATGGTAATTACGAGTATATATGATCTTTTGGACAGGCTTTAAAACAAAATTAAATAACTAAATATATGATTCTTTCAGAACATATAAGCCATCAGAACAAACAGAAATTGAAATAGTGTACTCTTTAATAAATTAAAATACACCTTGATAATGTCCCTAGATAAACCTATTGGCGGCAATTGTCCTTAGCCCTAGGGACATATCCCTAAACCTGACATCGCTGGTGACAGGCAGGGTAGTGGCACGTGATCGCCGGCTTTAGGGCTGGTGGCAGAGGAATACGCTATACAGCTGATATCAAACTGAGGGTTTCGTTCGAAAAAGACATAAGATACTTTTCGCTTTTACAAGATAATCAATTACGTTAGAAGATACAGCAACGAAGTAAAAAGCGGGTCCTATAGAAGTGCGTGCTCAAGGCGATATTTTTTGCTTTTTCGATAGCATGTTTTTGGATCCAAAGATTTTTTTGACAAACTCTAATTACGATTCTCCTTATTAATCACTTTACCATATCAACAAATTTATAGATTGGATCCCAAAAAACTTATGAGATTGATAACTATCAATGCATGCTTGACTATATGCGGGTAAGCAGATATGTACCGTTATGCTTACGAAATCTTTTCTGGTTGTGGTGTGACATTTTATTACATTTCCTAAATGATATAAAGATATGAGATGTGGACGAAATCTCGTACGAACGTTCCTCGAATATTACCACAATACTGGTGCTATTCCCATAGAACTTTCTTCGGAGATAGCAGAGAAGAAACGTCGTTCTTTCACCAAACAGGTTAAAAGGAGGAACAAGGACAGGTTCCAAAGACCTTTGACGAGCCGAACATTGGCCCACTTGCATTTTCAAAACTTGACGATCGCTGATTTTAGCGACACATCTGTCGACGATGACTACTACAGTTCAAGGTAATAATAGATAGAAGAGAAAGAACATTGTGCACTCCTGAAACGTTATTGGACCTTCTTGTGAACTTATCTGTAAATAAATATTGTATTGGCTCCGTTTTGTTACAGGAATCAGGAGAGTATGAGAGATCAAGCTAGCAAGAGCTTAGACCAGTCATTCTATAGATCTAACTCACCGCTGCCTACAAAGTACGTTGTCTTGCCAGAACCAAGCTTGTCCATAATTGACTTTAACAGAGAATATATTGAACGTGTTCCTATAGAAATTAAAAGAAATAAACGATATTAATGTTATTTGTGCATTTGTTTAATTAATAAGACCATACAAATGGCTACCGTGGCCTACAAGCTGTCCTTGGACGTATTCCCAAGAAGTGATTTGAATGGCGTCCTGACAAATTGGAAAATAGCATCCATTTTGTACATTAAAGGTGGTAAGAGAAACGAATTTTACCTTAGAAATCGAGTTCAGATACATATCATCGTTATATGCTATGGTTCGCCAGGTTTGGATTTGAGGAAAGCATGTACGACCGCTGTAACCGCAGTTTATCATAATTTAGTTCCTGTAGCTTTAGTCGGGTACACTCAACAACATGGGATCGTGTATTTTTTTTATATCGAAGCAGCCGCGCAGGCAGAAGCCTAAATGCCGGAACATCGCGGCTGCTATGATGATCCCAAAGAAATTTTGTTAATACGATTGTTCCACAATCTGGACACCCTCGGGACAAAGGAGCGGTCGTATCGGCCAGTTCTGGATGTAAGTTCGACACGGTAAGGATGGGACGCCAAAGTCAGGCGTGTCTGTCTGGCAGGCACATCGCGTGGCGGCATCATGGAAGAGAGCTAAGAGGAACAAAGTCCGTTGGTGTAGCGGTAGAAAAGAGCTAGATCGCCAACGTCTCGCCGGTGAGAAAGAGTCCCGAGACTGTCTGTTAGAGAAGAGTCGTCGATCAGTCGGACCGCAGAATTGGCACTTTACAGCGTATAGATTAGGTCATAATATGCATGTTGTTTAAGTAACATATCCCCAGACTCACCTCTCTATGCAGGGATCTCGACACCTGTTATACCTACAGCAAAGGTTAACTGGGGAAAGCTTTCGATAGCCGGCTTTAGATTTACGATCGGTCAACTGATTTTGAAATAATCAGCGAAAAACTAAAAATGGCGGAATTTGTAAATCCAAAACGGTTAATTTGACAGCTGTCAACATGTGACATTATTCGGACATTTTTCAATTAAAATAAGATAGCATGTATGACATGTCTCAATCGTCTAAACTTTCATATTTCTTATCGCCGCCATATTGGATTATTTGATTTTTTTAGGGCAGTGTAAAATTTCCAGTCTAGTGATGTCTCACAAGTGCATGGAAGATTGGAGTATCACCGAAATGTCATCACATGTAATGTTATGTATTAGTTTTTTTTTCTAAGGAAGCCATGATTTATTTGTCAGAAAATAACGTTAATGAGTAAGGCATAACAAACACATAAACGCCTGGAATTTTCATTAGAATATTAACATTAATATCGACTTCTCAACAAGTCAAATTTTTCGGGGCAAATTCCCGTGTTTTAAAAAAACAAAATTGCCGTAAATTTATTTTACACTTGAACAAGCTTTTTACAAAATTTTAATGTAATCTAACATCTAATTATGTGAGTAGGTATTAATTTACAGATTTGCAGAATAACTTGCATCCAGACTTTTGACAGTTGGTGACTTTTTTTCATATATCCTTAACTTAAAAATCCAATATGGCATCCATAAGAAAAATGAAAGGTTAGGCGGGTTGCTGGTAAACAAAATACGATTGAGTCATGTCATACATGCTATATTATTTTACTTGAAAAATGTACGAATAATGTCACATTTTGACAGCTGTCAAATTGTCCGTTTTGGATTTACTGGCAAAAAACAAATTCCGCCATTTACGGTTTTTCGCTGATATTTTCAAAACCAATCCAAATGTTTCCTCTAGAACGCCCCTCATTTAACTTTTACTGTAGGCATAACACGAGCCGAGATCCCTGTATAGAGAAGTAAATCTGGGACACCCTGTATACCCCATACCTTAGCACGTTTTCGACTCCTGTCGGGTTTTATAGAAAACAAAAACTGAAGCGCTCAGTAGATATTAGTCATGCTGATATTAAGGTCATTTAATTTATCTTGAAACTACCCAATTCCTGCTACTCAAAAGTGTTCAATAGAAAGTGACAGTCGAGTCGTTAAACATAACCTTGAGGTTGCAGCTGAAAGTAGGTTGAGGAGGGCGTTTGAGATATACTCAATGGCGTTTCATAGTACTATCATACAAGCAAGATGTGATTTTTGTGATTTAGGGAAACGGAGAAAACTTGTTTCCATTATTACCACTCAAATCTAGAATTCTTCGAAAATTATCTCTTGTAAAAGTGTTCCGATGAGAGTGAAATATTCGTCGCATTTGGTATTGTCGCATGCAATAAGAAGTGGCACTGACACCTTTGACGCGTACGCTAACATTTTTCATGAGAAATTTCAAGCACTCGAATTGGATAGGGGATCCAGCATAATATTCAAACGTGCTATGTACAACAAACCTGTTTGTGAAAACTATAGAATCAGCAAAAGAAGTTGATATTTTCAATTGACTCAAACGACCAGAGTGATATTTTTTTGAAGAATGTGTTGAAATAGGGCTGTTTTGGATCACTAAAGGACCACAACGATAGCAATTTATTTCTTCCGATCTTTCCAAAAAGATGTCTTGGCCAAATTACTAAGCATTTAATTATCGAGAATCCCTTTTTCTTCTCTTTTCTGGTTGAAAGGTTCACCTATTGTCTAGTACACTGGAGTCTTAATATCCGTGGGTACCCTTTGGTTACAGGAAATACATGAGAGAGGGGGGAGGTCACACGAACTGTAACCAGGGAACGCGTGAGCGTGTGACATGCCCATATTCTGGCCTTGCCTTAGAGATTCGTCAGGTGCTACATCCACGTTTGACAGTCCTAGACTGCCTACCAGCTACTCACAGTCACAAGATCCATAGCCAAAAGAAAAATTCTCTTGGGACGGGATTTGAGCTCTCGTAGCTCACGGCATCGAGATTAATAGGCCACAGCGTATAAGTTTGGACGAAATGGCTTATTCAACATTTACTGCTAAATAGCCAGATAACTAAGCAACAAAACGTGTGCAGTTTCCAGTTGTACAGTACAGGCTTAACGAATATAATAGCACCAATATCAAAGCTCATTGTAACTATGCGTAAAACTTCTATGGCAATTTGAATGAGTCCACTTTTTTGTAGGTCAATTGATCCTCTTAATGTATGCAATACAAAATTATTTTGCGGAGGTACAGTCGCTAAAAGTTATAAATTAAAGCACGTTGTCATATGTAAATGTTCATGCAAATTCAGTTTTTGGAATAACACCATGTCGATTAAAATAACATTTTGATACGAACGAATGGCTAGACCAAACATTTATTTTAATATTCGTTTAAATAGCAACACGTTATAAACTCAATTTAATGGGGGAGGCAAGCATATTTACAGTTCCTGATCCATATCCACAGTGGAATAATACAGCCGACGATATGGACGTATGAATACTTTAATGTCCACAGTTCAATATTGATAATTAAATTCAAAAAATATACATTTCATATGTGGTATTTTTAGTATTCATTTTATTCAGTTTGTCTTCACGCGTACTGGCTATGTCACTCCATGTATGAGAAACATATTTAGTCCGATATGATGAAAAAAGATGGCGACATTTAGGCTGAGTCTGTACTTCCCATCAGTTAATAAACGATTATCTTCGGTTAAAGCTAAACCCTTTAAGAAAGAAGTTTATGAATATGAAAAAAAGAATTCAATCAATCAAGTCAGTTTTAAATAGGCTCATACAGTTAGTCTCCAGTCCCAGGCCGTGTAACTTTCCCTAAGGACTTTGCTGCCACCTAAAATAGTAGTATTAAAATTCAGTTACCCTTGAGAAAATTTGGCACCCTGCTACACAAAGTTTCTCCTTGCTAGTCACTAATTGGTAACCCAAATAAATTTCCTGCAGTCGTCCATGTCTGAGGTGCAGGTCGTCGAGCCATTGTGCTGCCGACGTCAAAACACACCAGATCCAGCCTACTATGGGGCAGGCTTATCTTCTCTTTTCTTCTCGAGTCTTAAGGGCAAATGTAAAAGTCTACGTGTGGATTATGTATAACAGGTGTGTAGAATTGTCAGGGTTAGAAGCCTGTAGATATATTATCGCTAGAAAAGTGAGTAGTAGTAACCGCTTTTGACGTTTCAGAGGCTCTTGATCTTTTTCTTTGTCTTTGTAGTGGTTCAAAAATTGAAGGTTGGTCGTAGCACGGAATGGGAAAAGATATACTTCAATTTTTCATGTTAGTATATAGTATTTATATCCAAAGACTCCTGTAATTATACGCAACATTAGGTATATCATATATTTGCCCGTACATTTTGTTTTTGATACGCATCCTTGCTACTGCTAGGTTTTACCGGCAGGCGTGCCGGTCTTGAGTAGTGCCCTGCATTACTGCTGTCATACTGTTGCGAATGACGAGTCGTGTTGTGCGGCAGGGAAAGAATGATTATGGACTCATTGTATTGAGTCTTGTGCTGAACATAGTCCTTAATGAACTAATAACGGCGTTACGTGGACACTGCGTAGTTAATCTCCTAGAAGCCATTTTTCAATATTATACGAGAAGATACCCCAAAATAACCGGAATAGCATTGCAGTGGGCGGAGCTTGTGTAGTACAGATTTCTGCCCCTAGAGGCGTACAGCGCAACTCATTACCAGTTCAGTGCCACCTGAGTCCTTCTGTAGTCATCAATTTAGTTAGAGCTGTTTCGCGCATGTTTCATTTTTTTTCGACGGCAAGCTTCAGTGAGCAACTTGCAGATGTGACATTTTGCTTTTTAATTGGTAAAAATGCTGCTGAAACTGTTTTAATGTTAAAAATAGCTGACAATGATGATGCTATGGGAAAAACTCAGGTGAACGATTGGTTTGCTCGATTTAAAAATGGCGACATGTCGATTGATGACAAACCTCGCTCTGGAAGTCCATCAACTTCCCGAATCGACGAAGATGTTGAAAAACTTCGTGAGCTTGTGCTATTTGGAGGTTTTAAGACGATTGCGAAAGGATAATTAATGCACCTGCGCACACAGCCGCCGCCGTTCGACAGTTTTTGGCTAAAAATGGCATGGTTCCGCTGACTCACATTAAAGAGGTCAAGAAAAAAACGTGGGAGGAC